CCCGAAGCGTGCATTTGCGCTGCCTCTTTTTTTACTTACTATCCGTATAAAGAGTGTTAACTCAGAAATTTGACCATTCTTCCATATGCCTTCATGGTCGATACATATGGCCCATGATCTGCGAAAACCACAGAAGAAGAAGAAGAAGAAGAAGAAGAAGATGTCTGCACGTCATGATTCTTTTTAGCATTGCAAGTGACAAATCGTGATTTGCTGCTGTGACTAACTGCAGGCTGCATGCTGCAAGGAAGAAGTTGCTTGAACAGTGTCCGTGCTTGGTGGTAACCAGGCTAGAGTGTCTCTGCCACTGATGATCACATGCTAGCCCGTGCACTGTTGGCTATCTACTTTCGATTTTCTAGAGAGATCAGAATCAGTAGGACAGATAGCATAAGCTCCCCATCCTTCTACAAGTAGCTCTTGCTGTCAAGGATGCTGGTGCTGATCATGATGTTCTGTTCCCGTGATGTGTGTCACTTTCTTCCAGGTCTTGTGAAAGGATTCAAAGCGTTTACCCGCCGAGGCGAATTCTTTTTGAACCTCACAAACTACTTGTGTGCGCACAGTTCTCCTGATTTACGTCATCACTGTTTGGGTAAGTGTGTGCATATGTCTATGTGTGTGTGTGTGCGTGTGTCTATGTGTACAGGACAGGACAGGATGTGTGTGTGTGTATGGGTGTGCGTGCGTGCGCGTGTGTGTTCTGAATCTCTCTTCCCTCTCCAAGGGTAGACCCACATGACCAGTTTATGGCAGTGAGCAAGTACAGTACAGTACAGTGTGTGTGTGTGTGTGTGTGTGTGTGTGTGTGTGTGTGTGTGTGTGTGCGCGCGTGCTTGTGTGTGTGTGCATGTGTGTGTGTCTGTGTGTGTGTGTGTGTGTGTGTACGCGCGCGCTTGTGCGTGTGTGTGCTCATATGTGCACGTGTGTGTATGTGCGCGCGCATGTGCGTGCATGTGTGCTTACATATCCGGGTTGTATACCCTGATATCATACAATTCTGTGTGATAGTAAGCGGGCGAATTGCACGAGTTGCAATTTGCACACTTTCATACTGAGGAGATATGAGGGATTGTGTTTTCAACAGTTTTGTCCTATGATAAAATACTAGGGAGTACAACAAATCTCTCTCTCTCTCTCTCTCTCTCTCTCTTCTCTCTCTCTCTCTCTCTCTCTCTCTCTCTCTCTCTCTCTCTCTATCTCTCTCTCTCTCTCTCTCTCTCTCTCTCTCTCTCTCTCTCTCTCTCTCTCTCTCTCTCTCTCTCTCTCTCTTATCTCTCTCTCTCTCTCTCTCTCTCTCTCTCTCTCTCTCTCTCTCTCTCTCTCTCTCTCTCTCTCTCTCTCTCTCTCTCTCTCTCTTCTCTCTCTCTCTCTCTCTCTCTCTCTCTCTCTCTCTCTCTCTCTCTCTCTCTCTCTCTCTCTCTTATCCCTCTCTCTCTCTCCTATCCTATCTATCTTATTTATCTATCTATATTTATCTATCTATCTCTATATATCTATGTCAGGTATTTTGAATGCTGCACTTGAAGTGTACGGTTCTGAGGACTATAAATATGAGCTGCTGACGTCGCTGCTGGAAAAGCTGTGGTCAGTGCACAACAAGTTTCACCAACATCCGTTCCCACCTGGTGAGTTCACTTACCGGTATATGTTGTTGTTGTTGTTTCTTCGTCTTCGCCTCTGTCGTCATCATTGTTTTTGCAGTCATGTTTCTAACCTTTGTTCTCACGATAGCCAGTGGCCAATAAGAGATAATTGTTTCTGTTGTTGGTGCTATTGTTGATGTCGTTGTTGTTGTTGTTCAAATCTTTATTCTCACGATAGCCAGTGGCCAATAAGAGATGTTGTTGTTGTTGTTGTTGTTGTTGTTGTTGTTGTTGTTGTTGTTGTTGTTGTTGTTGTTGTTGTTGTTGTTGTTGTTGTTGTTGTTGTTGTTGTTGTTGTTGTTGTTGTTGTTGTTGTCATTGTCGCTTTTCTTGCTGTCGTCGTTGGTAATCAACATGGTTCTTTGTCTGGGGAGCCCCGTTGTTTTTTTGTGAGTGCTTCCCTAGCTGTTGGTTTCTTGCTCAAAATGTCACCAGACGCCACTGTAGCCATCCTGTACCCATGCATCATCACCTGACATTTGCTTGGTTTCTTTACCACCATTATAACTTCGATGCGGAAAAGTCTCCCTAACTGACTTGCATGCAGACCACGAGTGTTTATTATTATTATTTTTTTTTAATTTGCCCCTTTAAGTGAATACGGTTCTAACTGAATGTACACTGTATACGGAGAATTGCACCCTGTAAGATTCCCCATAGGTTGCACTGGACCAGCGCTGCAAGCCAGAGAAGGCGTTTCAGCTCGAGCCTTGCGCTCTCGATTGGTCTCCGTCCGCCATTTGACTCTCCTTGCTTGTATGAAGCTCAACATTTTGATAGTCACTCGAGGGAGTCCTAGTTTGAATTTGAATGAGTGTTACCAACGGCTGACGTGTTCAGGGAAAATTCCGGCCAGTGATTCGTGCTCTGAGCACTCTGACCAAAGTTACGAGCGACGTAACTCGCCAAACACTTATCCAATCGCGTAGGCAATTGTTTGAGACGACAGCTGAGAGTTTTCTCTTCGGTCTGCATAAAAAAACGAGAATTCAGCAGTTACGATAGGTTGAAAATGTTGAATTTATCGATCACCCGTGCTCGATAAATGTATGGTCGTAACGGGTTAATGGATGGGTTATTTCACACTTTGACGGCATACATGTATGTTTGTGAGAGCAATTAGCATCTTTTTCGTTCTTGTTTGTTTCACTGTGTCCCAATGACTACCAAAGTACCAGAGGGCCGATACTTCCCGGCTCGAGGCAGCGTAAAGGCCGATCCTGGTCCACCTTCAATCTCAAGCATTAAGAATCTGTCGCCTGAGATGCACATTCACCACACACATCTGCAGGCGCAACGGGTAAGTCTCAACATTCTCGCTTACTGCTGGTAAATCTCTGGTCTAAGAGCTCTGCGAAGGATTCTTCGTCGCCAGAGGGAAAATCGTATTTCCTGCCGGAACTGGCTGGCATACTGGCATGTCTGTTGTAAGGTGTGTGTAGGTGTCGGTGGATGTGGGGAGGGGGTGGAGGCGGGGGCACATCCATGTGTGCTGCTGCGGAAGAGAACTGATGCATGTCAATCCTGCGAGGGTAATAACGGGCTGCTGGGAGTTTTGTCAGTTGTTGCAAACGACTGCACTATGTATGCAGGTACAGTGTACACGTGTCACGGGCATGCTGCAGGCACTGCATGCGTGTACACGCACTGCATGCTGCAGGCACTGCATGCGTGTACACGCACTTTGTTACTGCGGCGACAGTGTTCCTAATGTGTTTGCATCGCACTTCTGTGTCTGTGTGTGTGTCTGTGTGTGTGTTTGTGTGTGTGTGTGTGTGCCAGCTAGTTCGGTTGGTGGGTGCATTTATGCCAGATAGTGTTGGGCCTGTTGCCAACGGGCTCGGCTGCTCGAAGGTGTATTGTTGTACCTACCACCTTTGTTGGTTTCAGGGTTCATATACTTTCTGTTTGAAGTATACATACCTGTTA